CCACTGCATTCCAGCCTGGGCGACAGAGCGAGATTCCGTCTCAAAAAAAAAAAAAAAAAAAGAGTTCTGTGGATGGATGTTTGTAACGGTAGCACAATAGTGCAAATGAACTTAATGCCACTGAATTGTGCACTTAAAAACAGTTAAGATGATAAGTTTTGTATGTTTATTTTTACCATGACCAAAAAGAAAGAAAAAATACACACTAAAAAAATACAAATAACAGCAACAGATCCTCAAGTTGTTAACAATTACTCAAATATGAAATTTATACATCCCAATGGTTTATTATTTATCCATTCAAAATAAAAATACTATTGAAATATTCTGGCTGAAAATTTACACTTTAATTTCTTTTAAAAAGTATAATACTAAATCCCTGCACTTTGGGAGGCCAAGGCAGGTGAATCTCGAGGTCAGGAGATTGAGATCATCCTGGCCAACATGGTGAAACCCCATCTGTACTAAAAACACAAAAATTAGCTGGACATGGTGGCATGCACCTGTAATCCCAGCTACTCAAGAGGCTGAGGCAAGATAATCACTTGAATCTGGAAGGCGAGATTGAAGTGAGCTGAGATTGTGCCACTGCACTCCAGCCTGGCGACAGAGTGAAACTCCATCTCAAAAATATATATATATATATAATACTAAAGTGACATATAGGATAGGATATCCTTTGTCTTTGAGAAATAAATGCAAAATGTAGGAAAGTAAATTATTAACCCTGGTTAATCAAACAAGAAATTCAAATAGTCTATTCCTGTAATGTAGTACTATTAAAAAACAAAACAACTTTTTCTGATTATAAAAGTAATGCTTCTCTTTGTAGAAAATTCACGGAAAATAGCAAAGGCTAAAACTTTTAAATGACATCTAATCTGACCAGCTAAAGAAAACCACCAAAAAAAACAAGGTTTCTCCTTGTTCTAGGAAGATAAAAAAGTTAAAAAAAAATTTTTTTTGACATAGCTGAGATCACACTATATAAGTACATCTATATCTTGCATTTTTTTTTTTTTAAGACGGAGTCTTGCTCTGTCGCCAGGCTGGAGTACAGTGGCATGATCTTGGCTCACTGCAACCTCCACCTCCCAGGTTCAAGCAATTCTCTTGTCTTAGCCTCCCGAGTAGCTGGGACAAACATGTACCACCACGCCCAGCTAATTTTTGTATTTTTAGTAGAGATGGGATTTCACCATATTGGCCAGGATGGTCTCGATCTCTTGACCTCGTGATCTGCCTGCCTCAGCCTCCCAAAGTGCTGGAATTACAGGCGTGAGCCACGGCACCTGGCCCTATATCTTGCATTTTTAACTGAATATCATAATGTATGTATTTTCTCCTACCATTAAAAATCCTTGGCTGTATATAATATTCCATGGTAAAGAATGTGTAAAGCATAATTTATTTTACCATTTCTCTATCGTTAGACATCTGGGTTCTTTCCAATTTGTAGTTATTTTTAAATTCTTCAATAAAAATGAACAGCTTGTAATTAACATTATTTTTCAGTGAAATAGTACTTGATAGAATCACAAACTTTTTTCACAGAAAAAAGTACTGTATTTCATGTCATCTGCAAAGATGTTGTACATAAGTACTAGTTTAAGTGGTCCAAATGTGAAAATGAGCAATTACAACTATAATAAATCAGTTTCCATACTGTACACACATAAAATAATAACTCTACTTAGTTTAACTGACATAGAGCCTTAAAGTGGCATAACTACAGTAAATCATCACTTAATATGGATGATAGGTTCTGGGAGACTGTAACTTTAAGTGAAACAACATACAGCAGGTTTTTGAATAACACTGTTTCCTTCAATGTTATTGAAAAAAATATTGAGGTAAATGTTTCACTATAATGATGAGTGAAAAAAAAAATAGCTTTGGTATAAGTTGTTTCACTTAAAGTCACAGTTTCCAAGACCTATTCATAACATTGAGGACTTACTGTACTTTAAAAAATTACTGGCAAAAAGTTGGCCAATTCTACACCATGCAATGTAAGAGTTCTACATATCTAGACATGCAATAATTGAAGTGTGTGATGATGAGGTCATGGTCAGAATATAAGAAGTGAAAACATGGTTTAGTTATTGAACCCCTATAGATACAAGTTTGTGTCTATCACTGTCAATAGGTAGGACCAACATTTTAGAAGCAGTCTAAATAAAGCACAGTGAATCCCATTCTATAAAACTTTTGTGAACCTGATTGGAGAGCTTACACATGTGACTTAGCATTGCTCCAATGTGAATAAAGGAAAATTCATGTCATACACAAGTAGCAAAGTCCCCTGCACTATTTAACATGGTACTCAGGAGATGCTGGGGATGTTAACTAGTACATAAAACACAATGCTAACACTTGATAACTCAAAGACTATCTAATTTCACAAATGGCCCCTTCTAACTGTTACACATGGTAATTCCTAATGATTCAATTCTTTTTTTATTTTTTTCATTTTTTGAGAGAGTCTTGCTCTGTTGGCCAGGCTGGAGTGCAGTGGCACAATCATGCCTCACTGCAGCCTTGACCCACTGGGGTTAGGTGATCATCCCACCTCAGCCACCCAAGTAGCTGGGACTACAGGTGTGCATCACTATGCTTGGCTAATTTAAAAAAATATTTTGTAGAGGTAAGGTCTCATTATGTTGCCCAAGCTGGTCTCAAACTCCTGAGCTCAGTGATCCTCTTGCCTTGGCCTCCCAAAGTGATAGGATTACAGGTGTAATCCACTGTGCCCAGCCTGTATTCTTCTTAAAACAAAGCTATGACCTGTTGGTGATTCAAACTAACATATGAGTCTGACATCTTCTGTGAAATGATATGTGACCTGTTCTTTTTGTTATACTAAGTGGTTTAAAATTAAGTGGCTTGACTAAAGAGACAAAATAATTAAATGTAACACATGATGCTTGATTGGATTCGTGCCCAAAAAGTGAAATAAAAATCTAAATAAATATTAGCAGCCGAGCGCAGTGGCTCACACCTATAATCTCAGCACTTTGGGAGGCAGAGGTAGGCAAATCACTTGAGGTCAGGAGTTCAAGACCAGCCTGGCCAACATGGTGAAATCCCATCTCTACTAAAAATACAAAAATTATCCAGGCGTGGTGGCACATGCCTGTAATCCTAGCCACTCAGGAAGCTGAGGCAGGAGAATCACTTGAACCCGGGAGGCAGAAGTTGCGGTGAGCCAAGATTGCGCCACTGCACTCCAGCCTGGGTAACAGCAAGACTCCATCTCAAAAAAAGTAAATTAGCAAGGTGATTTGAATATGAACAATATATTTTAAAATACCATTATATCAACATTGACTTTACAGAAAAGTTGGTAGTTTGGGGTGATTTTGGGGTGTTTAACAATATTGTACCTCTAGATAACCTAGGAGAACAAAAAATCACCAGAGGAAATATTACTGTATAATATTTAATGTCAAGTAAGCATAATATTTCAAGTTATAAAATTATAACTTACTAAATTCTTAAAATTGTCAAACTCTGAGATACCTAAATTTTTATTTAAAACCAAGCCTCTTTAGAAAAATTACAAAAACAAACTGTTTTATTCTAGTTTGATTCTTTATTTACATATTATGTATCTAGAAAGCTGACAATTTTAGGGATATTCTGGACAAACTAATATATAAGCTTACCTTAACTCTCTGTAGGAAAATTGTAAACTTAGAGAAAATATCCTTGAGCAGATCAAACCACTGGGGAAAATTCAACATTCTCATCTGATCTGCAAGCCTAGAAAAAAAAAATTCAAACAAAAATAATGATTGTTTCTGGGCCAATATAGCATCTACAAACTGGAAGAAATGAGACTAAATACTATCTAATGATAAAATGCAATTTTATCTAGATACCTAAAATGTTGAAGAGGTATATTACCAAAGAGTTATGGCTTATTTAAATATTTTTAAGACTGATAAGTTAAGTATATCATATATCAATTTCATATGAACAAGCTTTATGACCACTGAATGAATAAACCATAGAGAAGTGTGAAGATATACTCTGGAATAAAAATGGAAACACATCTCTGCCCAAAATTTCATAATCTGCTTTTCTAACTACAACTTTAAAAATATCATATGAGAGGTAATATGGAATGGTAGTTAAGAGCACTGGAGCCACAACACAATGCCTTGGTTTAAAATAGCAGCAGCTTATTGGAATTGCTAGCTATGTGGCTCTGGCAAGTGACTTAACCCCCGCCATGCTCCAATTTTCTCATCTAACATGAGGAAACTGATAGAACCGACCTTATGTGGTTGTTGTAAATATTATATGAGTTAATAAAAAATACTTAGAATAATGCATGACACATTTTTAAAAGTACCATGTAAGCAGCAGCTAATATTATTTTGATAGTTGACACAAATCATTAACTTCAAGGTGAAAAAAAGTAATACAAAATATAATCCATTCCCTAAAGATATTTTATAGTACCAAAATGACTTATTACTCTAAATTTTTAATAAATGCAGCTTCAGCTAAGAGTTTATTCTAAAAAGATACTACAACACTTGATATACAGGAAGTTCTCTACTTATATGGATAAAATTCCCTAGGGAAGAAGAAAAACTGACTCTCCACATCCATGGATGTGTCCCAATGACTTAATGTTTTCCAACCACTAACAATTCTCTCATTATTATAGTTGCTTCAACTAATTCTGAAATTGAGTTTTCCCTAGGTAACAGTGTGGAAATTAATACTCCATTCTGTGAGTTTGGCCCAGGAAAGTTTCACAGTTGTACATATCGCTATTCATATCTAAGCCAGTTAAAAACATTTAAATATCCATATGAACAAGAAATTCAGTCATAAAATATTATCACTATTCTTCTTAAAATAATAGAATAGGAATTTTTCTTTTTTCTTTTCTTTTCTTTTTTTTTGAGACAGGATCTTACTTCGTTGCCCAGGCTAGAACGCAGTGGCACAGTCACGGGTCACTGAAGCCTGGACCTCCCAGACTCAATCCTTCTCCTACCTTGGCCTCCTGAGTAGCTAGGACTACAGGCATGTGCCACCACGCCCAACTTATTTTTTTAATGTTTATTTTTGGTAGAGATGGGGTCTCACTTTATTGCCCAGGGTGGTCTCGAACTCTTGGGCTCAAGCAATTCTCCCACCTCGGCCTCCCAAAGCGCTGGGATTACAGGTGTGAGTCAATATGCCTGGCCAAGAATAGGAATTTCTAGGGTGAAAACAAACAAACAAAAAAACACAAACATGGGCAATTCAAAATCATAAACTCAAACTTCTCAAAGCCAATTAAAAGTTGAATTTTAATTATATAGCTAAAAATTTAAACATAATACTTGCTATACCCCTGTAATGAATTATCTTCAGTTTCACCTCTCCATATCTATGTTCTGCCCCTCCCCATCCTGCTCTCTGCTCTGGGAAGCTAATCTGTGGGCTTGGCCCACGAGGAGCCCTTACGAAGACTGGAAGAAGTAAAGGTATCTACTCCTCTAGCTTTCTAGTAAAGGTACCTACTTCTCCTGTGTCTCTCAAGGGTTGCCCCAGGGTGACTGCTTCCCTCTACTCAAGGTCACAGCTTTTTTTCAACTACCTTCTCCTCAATTCTGTTAACCACTGTCTTTGTTCTGCACTGTCACTTGTGATTTTCCTACACTCTGCTCACACCTTAGTAAATAATTCCTTTACGAAATCTACTTCAAATTATTCTAATTTGCATGTATCATCTTTTCTGACTGATAACCACCAACCTATATATTTATACTTACTTCACAACAACATCTGTGTCTATTTCTTCTGTTTGTGAAACTTTATTAATCACACACTGCAAAATTTAAGAAAAAACAAAAACAATTTAATTGTCTTTCAAATCCTAAGTATTCCATGTTCCATTTGTATATTAAAAAGGCCCTTACTACATGAACACTTTTCAAAAGAGGACATACATGTGGCCAACATAACTGATCATTATAGAAATGCAAATCAAAACCACAACGAGATACCATCTCACACAAGTAAGAATGGCTATTACTAAAAAGTCAAAAATAACAGGTGTTGGCAACGTTGTAGAGAAAAGGGAACACTTATACACTGTTGATGGGAGTGAAAATTAGTTCAACCATAGTGGAAGACAGTGTAGCCATTCCTCAAAGACCTAAAGACAGAAATACCATTCAATCCAGCAATCCTATTACTGGTTACATACCCAGAGGAATATAAATTGTTCTATTAATAAAGACACATGCACACGTATGCTCACTGTAGCACTATTCACAATAGCAAATACATGGAATCAACCTAAATGCCCGTCGATGATACACTGGATAAAGAAAATGTGGTACATGTACACCATGGAATACTATGCAGCCATAAAAAAGAATGAGATCATGTTCTTTGCAGGGACATGGATGGAGTTGGAGGTCATTATCCTTAGAAACTAATGCAGAAACTGAAAACTAAATACTGCATGTTCTCACTTATAAGTGGGAGCTAAATGATGAGAACACACAGACACACAAAGGGGAACACCACACAGTGGAGATTATTGGAGGGTGGAGGGTGGGAGAAGGGAAAGGATCAGAAAAATAACTAATGGGTACTAGGCTTAATACCTGGGTGATGATATAATCTATACCAAAAAAACCCAGGTCACGCGTTTACTTATGTAACAGACTTGCACATGTACCCCTGAAATTAAGATTTAAAAAAATTTAAAAGGCTCTTACTTACTACAATAATTACTTTACCAGATTTTTATATCTTACGTATCTCTCACAGTGTTTGAAAAGCTGATTACAATTAGCCAATTAAATAATCATTTCAGAGTGTGTTTGAATTGTAATAATATCACCTACTATTCAAAACTGTTCAAAATCATACACTAGAAAAGCAGAGCTATAATATTTAGGAACAAGGTATAAGCCCCATATTAAAATCCCAAAAGAAATTCATATTGAAAGTTACATTTCCTTGTGATATATGCAACAGTTTAAAATTAAAAAATAAATGCTTAGATTTGAGGTCTGGGAATTGAAACATATCAGTTTTTAGAAATTGCTTAAACTATATATACAGAAAATTGTACAAATTATGTTTACAGCTCAATACTTTTGTACAAATGAAGTACATTTGTATAATCAGAACTCAGCTCATGAAACAACCTTGCTAATACCCAGAGCTCCTCCCCTATTCCCTATCAGTTACTACTTCCGCCCAAAATATACTATTGTCCTGATTTTTAAACCATAGAATAATTTTGCCTGCATTTGAGTTTTACATAACTGGAATAATATAATGTATACTTTCTGTGTTTGGTTTCTTTGGCTTCACATTATGTCTATAATATTCATTTGTTATTCTGTGTAATCTATTCATTCTCATTAATGTATAGTATTCCATTGTATAAATACATCAAAATTCTATTTATCTTTTCTACTGGTGATGGAATTTGGGCTGTTTCCAGTTTTTAAAATTACAAATAGTACTGCCATGAACATTCTCCTGCTGTGTTTTGGTGAACTTATATACATATTTCTGTTGGGCGCACACCTAGGAATAGAAATGCTGGGTCCCAACATGTATGCAAAGTTGGCATTACTATATATTGCCAACAATTTTTCAAAGTGGTTGTACCAATTTAAAAATACAGTGTTTTAATCAGTGCTTGAAAGAGGGGATGATTATAAATTTTTTGCTTATTTTACTTAACTTTTAAACTTATTTTAAACTTTAAAAACTCATATATGTACATTCAATCTAATGATAATAATCAATTAAGCCTAATAAATACATTTAAAATTATGTTATCTTTTTCATATATTTAAAAACCGAAGTTCAGTGGATAAGATTTATCTGAGTAAAAAAAGTCAAAACAAAGATCAGGGAATACTGAAAAACACATGGATTTTAGTTTATAATTTCTTAGAGATTAGGATAAAAAGGAAATGAACATTTGTCTACTGCTAGTGGGAGTATAAATTGGTAAATCTTTTTAAATAGGAATTAAATTATATACATCAAATAACTTAAAAATACTTTTCACTCTCTAACCAATACTTCTACTTCTAGGAATCAGTCTAAGAACAAATATTCTTAAGTACTAAAAACAAACAAAATAACTTTATACCACAGATATCTGTCACAGTGCTATTTATCATATCAAATTAAAAACAACCTAAATATTCAATACAGAAGAAAAGTTAAGTAGATTTAACATAATGTTAATGGGACTTTACACAGTCATTAAAAATGATGTTTCTGAAAGCTTTTATAATGAGAAAATGATTATGATTCTAACAAATATATGTATAAAATCATAAACACACAATGACAACATAAGAAAATCAGTAACAGTCTACACATAGAAATATTCCTATAGCAATAATCTTTTGGCTGGTAGGACTATGTTTTACTTTCATTTTTCTATATTTTCAGTTTTTAGATAAATTAGCTATATTACTATTACACTACATATATTATTACTAGGATACATAAAAATAAACTTCGCAAAGGTTCCAGACCAAAGTATATCAAATAAAAATGCATAATTACCTGTTTAATGATATTCTTTGCTGTAATAATCATTTTTTCACCATAGATTTCTAAAAAATTAAGTTTTCTTTGTTTTAAAAGTCCAAATACGAGAGATACCAGTCTTTCCTGTTAAAATAAAATAAAAAGTATGTAACCTGATATTTTAAATAGGAAATAATTTTACTTAGAGGTAGAAATATTCAGCATCAGGAGTTCTGTTTGATCCTCAGATCGCTATCCTACACAAAGTATTTTCTAGCAGCCTGAAAAACCCCTCCCACAGCAATCTTACCATGAGATTTTTGGAGTCAGCATTCTGAAACAGATAAATCCTACCCCACCACAGTGAACCAATGAAGCTGGTTTTGGGGTAAAACAATACAAGGGTATTTTTTGTTCTAGTTTCAACAAGTAAAAAATATCCTTCTCACACCCTGATGACCAATAAATACTCCATGGGCCCTGTGGTTTGTTTTGGGTTTTGCTTGTTTGTTTGTTTTGAGACAGGGTTCCACTCTGTTGCCAAGGCTGGAGTGTAGTGGGGTGATGACAGCTCACTGCAGCCTTGATCTTCCAGGCTCAAGTGATCCTCCCACCTCAGCCTCCCAAGTAGCTGGAACTACAGGCATGTACCACCACACCTGGCTAATTTTTAAATTTGTTTTGTAGACTCACTGTGTTGCCCAGGCGGTCTCAGATTCTTGGGCTCAAACCACCCTCTAGCTTCAGCCTCCTAAAGTGCCTGGATTACAGGCCTGAGCCACTGCGCCTCGCCCCTGTGCTTTTTAATGCATGGTCTAGAAGACTGAAATAATGACCTAGAGTCTCTGTGGGAAGTCAACTGCTAACATGTACAAAAGTTTCTTTACTTAGGCGGTTATCAGGGTTTCTGGGATTCTTTACTAGTTGTTGTCAGTGATTAACACTGAGAAGTTACCAGCTAAGTGAAGCCTGGATATTATGTATTTGTATATACATATATATATAACATGTTCATAATAGGTACTCAGTAAATTTGAGTGATGGGTAATTACCATATGATAATGATCACTTTTTTGGTTTTGTTTTTTTTGAGACAGGGTCTTGCTGTGTCACGATCATGGCTCACTACAGCCTCAAACTCCTGAACTCAAGTGATCCTCTCGCCTTAGCCACCCAAGTAGCTGGGACCACAGGTGTGCATGCACCACTACACCCAGCTAATTTTTTATTTTTTGTAGAGATGGAGTCTCCCTATGTTGCCGAGGCTGGTTTCAAACTCCTGGGCTCAAGCAATCTTCCCACCTCAGCCTCTCAAACTGCTGGGATTATAACATGAGCCAATGCAGCCAACTATGATCACTTTTTATAAAAGACAAGCTCCAGCACTCGCACGCATGCACACAATATAAATTAATTCATCCCATATCTGTATTTTTAACTTGGTCTGTAAGCTCATTCTAACTCTAATTTCTAATTAAGCTCTACAATTATATTATTCTCTAATTTCATAGGATAGTAAACAATTATGGTGCTTGCTAAAGTCACACAGCTAGTGAAGGACTTCATAGGTCTCATAGTCCTTGAAATTTAAGATAATTTTGCTTCCTATAATCTGAGGAAAATGTATTCTAAACCAAGACTGTTAAGCAATGGCATCAACTTCATTCCACAGTTAAAACACATACCTCTTCTAAAACTTGACAGTCATCTTCCAGTGGTCTATTTAAGTCACTGTGAGAATAAGTAGAAAATTCTGCAATCATCATTTTATCTATCAGTTTTTCTAATTCACAAAGCTGTGATCCCAAATGCCTAAAAAGGAAGAGGAAAATGTTATATTTATATTCACTAAAAACTACAAATTCGCTCCACACAATCAAGGGAACTAGTGGGTAAAACTTTTCCAGCTGACAGTACCTGTGCAATGATGCAATGTTTTCAAAAAATGAAGTCCTTTAACTTACCAAAATAACTGCAAATATTTCATCTTCTAAATTCCATTTTTCTCTTTACAGTTGACCCTTGAACAACATGGGGGTTAGAGGCACCAAACACCAGTGCAATAAAAAAATCTGTGGATAACTTCTGACTTCCCCAAAATTTAACTACTAATAGCTTATGTTGACCAGAAGCCTTACCAATAACATAAACAGTCAATAACACATTTTTTTCTATATTGTGCGTACCATATACTATATTCTTACAATAAAGCTAGAGAAAATATGTTACTAAGGAAATCCTAAGGAAAAGAAAATATATTTACTATTAAGTGGAATCAGATCATCATAAAGGTCATCTTCACACTGAGTAGGCTGAGGAGGAGCAGGGAGAGGAGGGGTTGGTCTTGCTATCTTAAGGGTGGCAGAGGAGGTGGAAGTGGAGGCAGAAGAGGCAGACACTCAGTATAACTTTACAGAAATGCACTGTAATTTCTGACTTTACTTTTTCATTTATCTAAAAATGTTTGTTTCTATATGGTACCGATCCTTCTTCTACCATTTGCTTTAGTTTCAGTGCCCATATCATAGAAGAGTCCATGTCATAAAAGAAGTCAAACGCAGTCTTGAATAACGCGAACTCTGCTGCCAGACTGTCTAATGTCATCTTGTTTTCTGGCACTGCTGCTTCTAAATCTTTTTCCTCATTCTCTGGCATTGGTTTGAGAACACTCATCTCCATCAAGTCATCTTCTGTTAATTCCTCTGGTGTGGTATCTATTAGCCGTTGAATTTCTCCAAGATTCTTATCTTGAAATCCTTCATTCCTCACCCATTTTTGTCACATCCACAATCTCTTTCATGATCTCCTTGATCGTCTCACAGCATCTGCACACAGTTTTCTCTAACAGGAATTTATTGTTTTGGGCTTTATGGTCTTCACAATGTTTTTCTGTAACAATGATAGCATCTTCAATGGTGTAATCCTTCCAGACTTTCGTGATGTTCTATCGGGGTTCTCTTCCACGGCACCGATAATCCTTTCTGCAGAGTAGTGTGTGTAATGAGCTGTAAAGGTACTTATGACTCTCTGATCTAGAAGCTAGATTAGAGATGTTGTGTTTGGGGCAAGGAGACCATTTTAATGCCTCTGGTGTTGAATTCATGGGGTTCTGGGTGGACAGCGCCATTGTTCAACACCAAAAGAACTTTAAAAGGCAGTCACTTTTTGGCAAGGTACTTATTGACTTCAGAGACAAAGCATCAATGGCACCAATCCAGAAAAAGTGTTCTCATCCAGGTCTTTTGTTGTATAAGCAAAAAACTGGCAGCTGTTATTTATCTTTTCCTTTGAAGCCTGTGGGCTAGCAGCTTTATAGATAAGGGCAGTCCTTATCACAAACCTGACTTCATTTGCACAGAACAGTAAGAAATAGCCTATCCCTTCCTGTCTTAAATCCTGGTGCTCACTTGTCTTCCTTACTAATAAATGTTCTTTATGGCTTTTTTTTTCCAGAGTAGGGCACTTTTGTCTGCATTAAAACCTTTCAGGTAGATATTCTTTCTCCTCCATTATTTTCTAAATGGCATCCAGGAACTCATTTGCTGCCTCTTTGTCAGCAGAAGCTGCTTCTCCTATTATCACGACTTTTCTGTAAGCCAAACCTCTAAAATTATCAAACCATCCTTTGCTGGCATTAAGTTCTCCAGCTTTAGATCCTTCACTTTCCTTTTGCCTTAAATTATCATTTGATATCTTAGCTTTTTCTCAGATAATATTAGAGTCTATAGGCATGCCTTTCTCATAGTAAGCCTGCACCTACATAAAATCTGCATTTTCAATACTGGATAAAAAGGTACTTGCAAAAAGTATAAGGCTTTTGTAAATGCTGTTGTAGCTAGAGTGAGGACTTGACAACTTTTTTGTTTTTGTTTTTGTTTTTTTTTTTAAACAATCGTGGGCAACCACAACTGCAGACCTCAATCTACTATACACATCAAGGAATTAAACTTTTTATTGTAAATGTCATCACTTCTCTCTGCTTCTTGGGAGTACTTCCAGCATCACCAGTGAACTTAGTTTGGGTCCCATGGTGTTATTCAAGGTGTACAGCATGTATTAAAAACAATAAAAACATGCAAAAACTGTAACAGATCACCTTTTACTGTGATACTCAATTTACTGGAGAGAGGAACTACTCAAACATAGATGACTAGCATCACTTGAGCTCATCACAGTAGCAACTGGAGGTGGCTATGAAATTATTACAGGGGTATAATATGTACCAAAGTTTTTTGCAGGTATGATCTAATACTGCATGAATGGGGCTATGTACAGTCTGTAAGTTTTGATAAATTTTAACTTTTTTGACAAGCAATTATGATATAGTTTATTGTTTTCTAGTATATGCTAGCTATTTCAAGATAACATGGCTTTAAATCAAATGATGAACGTTTAAAAAGTTTGAACTCCTAAGGACATATATTGTTTTGAAGAATTTCAGAAATTAAAACAAAAATCTTCCTTTGTCTTCTAAATAAATATAAAATGCGTTCTTCTAAATAAACATAAAATTCAGTTGTTCAGGGTACTATTTTGAGACACTTCAGACCTAACTTTTTAAAAAAATTACAAAAAAGCCTTTTTCTAGGTACAGCAATGGTAGATATAATACTATTGCCTTCTGACAAAGCTCTTCCTAAATTGAAAGACTGTTTACCTACTGTAGGAGCATTAAAACATTCGAGAGAACGGTATTCAGCAAAGATCACTATAGCAGGAAATCACTGTAAAATGTAAGCTTCTTTGTTCATATTTGATTATTGTCTGTGTTGTCTGTTTTCATAGTTAACACACTATTGTGTTTTCAGACTCAGCATTCGAAAATTATTTTAATGTGACAAGATAAAATTTTATGTTATATCATGATTGCAAATTTGTCTATTGATAAGAATTTAGATGTTTTGTATTTTATATTTACGTTTCTGAGATATTTAAGTTTTTAGTAAATATTGATGCTTTAATTTTTTTTATTAAGTTCTAGGGTACATGTGCACAACATGCAGGTTTGTTACATAGGTATACCTGTGCCATATTGGTTTGCTGCACCCATCAACTTGTCATTTACATTAGGTAGTTCTCCTAATGCTATCCTTCCCCCCAGCCCACCACCCTCGACAGGCCCCAGTGAGTGATGTTCCCCTCCCTGTGTGCGGGCTCTTTTTTGGTTCCATATAAAGATTAGTTTTTTCCAATTCTGTGAAGAAAGTCAGTGGTAGCTTGATGGGGATGGCATTGAATCTATAAATTACTTTGGGCACTATGGCCACTTTCACGATATTGATTCTTCCTATCCATGAGCATAGACTGTTTTTCCATTTGTTTGTGTCCTCTCTTATTTCCTTGAGCAGTGGTTTGTAGTTCTCCTTGAAGAAGTACTTCACATCCCTTGTAAGTTGGATTCCTAGGCATTTTATTCTCTCTGTAGCAATTGTGAATGGGAGTTCACTCATGATTTACCTCTCTGTCTATTATTGGTATATAGGAATGCTTGTGATTTTTGCATATTGATTTTGTATCCTGAGACTTTGCTGAAGTTGCTTATCAGCTGAAGGAGATTTTGGGCTGAGATGATGGGGTTTTCTAAATATACAATCATGTCATCTGCAAACAGAGACAATTTGACTTCCTCTTTTCCTAACTGAATACCCTTTATTTCTTTCTTTTGCCTAACTGCCCTGGCCAGAACTTCCAATTCAACTATGTTGAATAGGAGTGGTGAGAGACGGCATCTTTGTCTTGTGCTGGTTTTCAAAGGGAATGCTTCCAGTTTTTGCCCATTCAGTATGATATTGGCTGTGGCTTTGTCATAAATAGCTCTTATTATTTTGAGATACATTCCATCATTACCTAGTTTATTGAGAGTTTTTAGTATGAAAGGCTGTTGAATTTTTTCAAAGGCCTTTTCTGCATCTATTGAGATAATCATGTCGTTTTTGTCATTGGTTCTGTTTATGTGATGGATTACATTTATTGATTTGTGTATGTTGAACCAGCCTTGCATCCCAGGGATGAAGCCAAATTGATGGTGGTGGATAAGCTTTTTGATGTGCTGCTGGATTCGGTTTGCCAGTATTTTATTGAGGATTTTCTCATCGATGTTCATCAGGGATATTGGCCTAAAATTCCCTTTTTTTGTTGTGTCTCTACCAGGCTTTGGTATCAGGATGATGCTAGCCTCATAAAATGAGTTATGGAGGACTCCCTCTTTTTCTATTGGTTGAAACAGTTTCAGAAGGAATGGTACCAGCTCCTTTTTGGTGTTATTTAAGGTGTATAGTATGTATTAAAAACAATAAAAAACAAAAATATGCAAAAACTGTAAGAGATCACTTGTTACTGTAATAATTTACTGGAGAGAGGAACTGGTCAAATACAGATGACTAGCATCACTTGAGCTCACCACAGTAGCAACAGGAGGTGGCTATGAAATTATTACAGTGGTACACTATGTACCATAGCTAGTTTTTTGGAGTTATGATTTAATACTGCATGAACGGGGCCATGTACAGTCCATGTGCAAGCTTTGATAAATTTTAACTTTTTAAATATATTTTATGGTAGTAAATGATAAAGTAGACTAGTACCTACATATATTTTATGCATTCATGGCATATATATTTCTAGGCTATGTGGAAAGTTTTTTCAAACTTTCACAAATCTCCAAAAACGTTTCCAATATATTTACTGACAAAAAAAATCTGTGTATAAATGGACCCACAAGTCCAAACCCATGTTGTTCAAGGTCAAAGGTATATCTTTAGCCTCCAAATAAATGTGTTCTAGAAAACCTGGTTACTGGGCATGATTGTTTC